CAGTGTGCCTTCTTCATTGGAAATCCCACGTTCTCACAAGTTTGAAAATGTGCTCCCTATTCTCACTCGTGTTCCTCTCAACAACCATGAAACCACTGCTGCAGAAGAAGAAACACAAACTCAGAGTGAATGGAGGCTTTTTGCCACAGCTGCGCCCACTGTCGACACAAAACAGCAGCGGCAAGCAGCCAGACAGCAGAGAAAACCAAGAAAGAAAGCTGCAGCTCTCAGTGATGCATTTTCTGATGCTAAACAAACTGAACCAGTCACATTTTTAAGCATGCCATCCAAAGCTGCCACTACAGCAGGGCTTAGATCTAAAAACCCCTTTGCTACCACCTTAGCACCACCTGACATGAGTCCACTTCAGTTATCTATTGAGAGAGCTAAAGCACAATTCACCAGGAAGAAGAAAAGGAAAATGAGACTGTCTAACCAACAACAATGAGCCGTGTTTTTCAGGCACAGCAGGATAGATGGAGAAACACACAAACACAGCTTTAATTGCTTAGATTAGCTCCTGATGACCAGACATGCTTTACAGTTAGAATATTTACATATCACAGTACACTGTTTTCTGGCTTTAATTGCTGGAACATAATTGACATAATCATATTTAATTGTAATATGAGAATCAAGTTTTGCAATAATTTATCCTGCATGTCAATAATAAAATTATTGGTTGGTTATGAATGTGTGGCAGTGTTTCACTTTATTTATTCAATAAATAAAATATTAAATAACAGTATTCTATTTTAACATAAAATAAAAATTCAAAATGTTTTCTAGCAAAAGCATCTTCCAGCAGCCACTTTCCATCCTGTCAGGGAATACAACAGTACATCTCCCTAGCAATTAGTGGTTGCCAAGCAGTTGCCAACTGGTCTTCGGGACAGTATGAAAAGGCTCTAAAGCAACTTTGTTCTGTCTGGCATCCCCCTGTCCTTTGTGCTTACAGTTAACGCTTTGCCCCTAAAATGAGTATATTTGGAATATACACTCTACACTGTGATATCAAAAAGGGATAAAAGTAGTGTTTAATACAAGCATCTACCAGTGTAAATGTATGTATGTCTGACAGCAAAATTAGCAAAGATGTAACAGAAGCTACCAACTTTAATGAGAAGCTAGCACCAGTGAATGTTAGCTTAAAACCACAACTTAGAATATAATACGCACGGATTAAATTTATTCAAATCTGATGTGCTATTTGGTGAGATTTAGTTTAGCTGCTCAGAGGATATGATTACCACTGACTGTACAAAACTAATGGATTACAGTCGACCCCCGATATTTGTGGGGGTTAGGGACCACAACCACCTGCAAATAGCTGAGATCTGCAAATACTTGAAATCCCATCTAAAACGTTTATAACTGGTTATTTTAATAGCTCAAACACCAAATATACTATCACCCTAATGAAAATAATTACTTTAGATATGCTTTCTATGCTTTCCAAAAAATCAGTGAATAGGCAAATTTTCCACAAATAATTTTATTCGTTCCACAGAAAAATCTGGGAGTAGGTGATTCTGCAGATACCGAACCACGAAGAGGTGGAGGTCGACCGTACTGCCCTTGGACAACACCAGGCGATACTAAGCTAACAAGCTAACAGGCTGCTAGCCATGCCATCTCATTTAACCTTAGGAGAATGGTAGAAAACTGCAGCTCTAACTCCCAAAGAAACAAAGCAATGTGAATGCTCCACATGGCATAAAAACAATTTTTCAAACTTTGTAAAAATGATATAAATTTGAATAACATACCAAGAGCTATTCTTATCTAGCTAATAAAATAATATAATCTTCATTTTGTAATTTTGCATGCACATCTTATCTCAGCTGGAGACATTTAATCAGAAGGAGAAAGCTGAAAGGCTTAAGGTTGACCTTCTTAACCTGACTCTCCTGAGTTTCTTCTGGGTCAGAAATAGCCTTTAAGGCAGTGGTCCCCAACCGTTTTTGCACCATGGATCGGTTTATGTCGGACAATATTTTCACGGCCTTTAAGGTGTCACGGATAAATACAACAAAATAAAACCAGTATGGGTACAAAAAAAAGAAGATTTATTCATAACACATGGGAAAACACCCAGGGAAACCGAGTTAACGATAACTATTTTAAAAAAGTAACGCTAAAAACCCGATAAAAACCCTGAAAACCATGAATTTCACACCCGAGCTTGAACTCTCGCGGCCCGGTACCAAACAACTCAAGTATTATACTATCGCCCATCCTGTTCATGGCCCTGGGGTCCTGGACCGCTTCTTTAAGGGGTGGCTGAACCATGTATGGTTAGCATACTGAACTGGGAGTAGGTTTCGACAGAAACGTGCATTTTCCTGTTAGCTGAACATTTGATAGTTGTATGTTGTCAGGGAGATGGGGTGAAAAATTCCTCAGTGCAGAAAAATCCCTGCTTTTCTTTCCATACTGCAAAAAAATCTGTCAAGAAGAAGCTTAATATATACATGCATGCTCTTTTCTCCAAGGTGACTGAGGACTTTGGTCAAGCTGCCTCCCCATGTGTGGTTGAAGGCAGGGTCACATTCTCAACACTGATTAGAACCTCATTATTTTCACCTCTTACCATTGAGGGTTGTAGAGGCAAATCCTACAGATCAGCTGACCGTCACATGCTTGCATAAGAGGACTTTATCTGGATGGTTCTGGACATGCAACATATTTCCAAATTAGCCCTCAATCACTCAATCATTTAAAATGTGCTCTTAGAAGAAGAATATTCACAAACAATATGGACATCTACATATCTTGCAAACAGTGGGAGTGATGTAAAAGTGCAGATTTTTATGCTACAGCTCAAGTTCCCAGGACTTTTTGGAAGCCATCCAAATATTCAAAGGAGCTTTCAGATGCAGTCCACAGTTGAAATGGGCAGAGCGACTAACACAGTTGGATGTGTGATAAAGCCATTTCTCACAGCGGGGGAAGAAAAAGTAGCAGGAATTTTCCAGTTCATCAAGTTTATGAGTTTTTTGGGTTTATGTTCGTATTTCAAAATGCATTACAGGTTGTTACTTGCACGTACAGATTAAAAAAATACCACTGAAGGCTAATTTTTTTTGTATAGTAAAATTTTCACATCATTAAAAAATATATATTTTAAAGACGTTGGCATTATACATAAAAATGTACCCTCACGAATATTTCTGATTAGTAAATGCAACCGACTCCATAAGCTCTTCTTGATACTAGACACTTTGCAGTTCTTTCAGACTTTCCCAAGGGGTCAAATATATATTTCAAGGGTTGTGGGTAACATGTGCAGCAGGGTCTCACAGAAGAAAGCTCACATTTTGTGACAGAAAAGATCTTTGTTTTGTTTTGTTGCAGTCTTGCGAATTCTTGGATAATTTCCTCCATGTAGGCCTCCAAAATTATTAAAAATTTCGAGCATAAACATTGCGTAGAAATAAAGATATTCATGAAAACTTGATGTTTTTTATGATTTTCTTTTTTCTTTCATATTTTAGTTATATTTACATGTTTGAAAAAAACATATAACGAATAAAACAGTCACACATTAAATACACAAACTGAGAGATAACCTTGTCTTCACTGTTAGTACATCCCTCAGATCTCCTTTTTCAATATTTGCTGTTTTTCATATTTTGTCTTTTAACTTTTAACACTACAACCCCATTTAAAATAAACTCACCGATTAAATCTTCTTGCTGTTTGATATCATGCAGCTAGTGTACAGTCACAGAGCAGTGAAAGTGAACCAGAACAATACATGCACTGTCCTTGCATGCAAACAAAGAACTGAACCTCACCGTAAAGCTGTAATTGTACAATGAAAAGACCGAAAAAAGAAAGATTTGCTGCCCACAGCGCGGGTCATGTGTTGACCTCTGGTTACTATTGTGGCGATGGCTTTGAATAGCCAGGGAGGCGGTCAAGCAGAAAATCAAACGAACAATGTATGGTTTGGGGGAAGACATGATAATGAAAGAACATCGTGTTCTGTGGATTTGTTTGGCTGAAGAAGCCAATAATCCACTGTGTTCACACATGTGGAGGATTGACAGAAAATGACCTGGCTCACATTGCTGATGGAAGAAGAACGCCGGCCTATTTCTCAAAGAAGCTGGCACTCTGATACAGACATTGTATTCATTTGTGGTTACTCTGCATTGTTCTGTGTATCTTTTTGGTAATACGCCTCTATAGTTGCTTTGTGTCTGCTTATTGTGTTAAGTCTCCATGTGGTCATTTTGGGTCTCTTTGTTTTGTGTTTCTCTGTATTGACTTGCTGACAGTCCCTTCATGCACAGCAGAGTGAAGTGCCAAACAGTGGGACAACTTCCTGACTTACACTTTGTGTTTAGGTGCAAGGACCTGCAGCTGCATATACATACAAATGTATGTCCAGTGTAACTGAATATATATACACTGACATGAGAAAGGTGGTGGACTGAGGCGGGAGTCCTTAGCTAACCTATGCTTTCCTCTGGACTGAGAGTCCTTCTGGCAGCTCTCCATGGACTGAAGTACAGATTTAGATTAAAGCAGGCTTGCCTTTCATCAGAAAATCTTCCACGCTGTGTTATTCAGTAAAGCTTAATCCTACATCCATGTTGACATTTTAACACACAGGCCAAATATCTTTTGTCTGGTAGTTTGTCCTTTATTTTTTTATAAACTTACATACTCAGAGACCAAGAGAGCATTCTCAGCATTAATTTCATCTAGTTTATTTTAATCTGACAGATTCTCTGAGCGAATCTTCTAGCAATAAATATTAACCTGCACCTTTTATGACCCCTAGTGGTCAAAACACAAAGGGGTGGAATCAAGTGTTTCTGAATTCGAGTGTCCCATTACCATCGCTATCCACAGCCTGATACTGTCGCACTGTGAGTTTCTATTTTTATACTTTGTATAAAATTGTATGTTTTCCACCATGCACTGCTCTTTAAATGAGATTTCCTTCAGGAAAATAAGCCAGCCAGTTTTCTCTCATTTTATTTTATATATTAGTAGAAAATTTCAGTACAAACATCAAAAACAAAACTGTTTTGTGAACAGATCATAAATCATCATTCCCATAAATGTAGTGAAGAAGTGCATAATTTCAGGGAGGTCATGTGGTTCAACTCTAAACCTGCTCCGTACCTTGCATCCGAACATCTCCGATCTGAAGGGAGAACAGTGTTTTAATATAAAATGATATTTATACAGAAAAAGAGTAAGGCATAAAAATAAGAGAAAAATCACCTGAACATGAGGAGGGGCACTGAGCACGTACGTAACAGCATTGGCAACATCTGTTACTTCCAGAGACTGTCAGAGAAGTGAAACGTGATTAATGACTTATTATTTGAGTTACCACATCAACAGTACATCAGGTGTAGGAATAATTATTTTACCTTGTATGCAGAGTATGCACCAGCTGCTTTATTAGGATTGTTTTTGTAGAACCGTGACAAAAATTCTGTCTCCACCAAACCGGGAGAAATACACTGCAAAAAAGAGTGGATACTGTGTGTGAGGGTCTCATCACAGTAATGTTGGTTTTAAAGTGACTTTTGGAGCTGCCTACAGTGTTTTTAAAGCCTTACTGTGGCTCGGATATGACTGTTTTCTGCACGCAGCGCCTGCCGCAGGCCCTCTGTCAGGGCGGTTACAGCATACTTTGTGGCGGTGTAGAAATGTAGATCAGGATTGGTAATTACACGATGTCCGCACATGCTGCAACAGATTTATAAACCGTTAACCAGGTGAGCATTAAACAGCATGCATTAATGTGCAAGTAAAGTAACTCTTTTAAACTCATGTCTCAATGATGTAAGAAACACGAGGCCTACAAAGCCATTTTGTTGATAGTTAACTGGAAATATTCAGGTTCTGGATTGCTGATTGGCCACCATAAAAGATGATGCAGATGTCACTTTGGGTTTTAAGAGATTCTCAAGGACATTTTGAAATACTGCATGGGATTCTTGCTTATTAATTATGAAGACTAATAAACCTTTTCCCCAACGAGATCTTTAAATCAGGTGTCAGTTAATTTGCTTCCTAAATGTAGTAATAATAATATGCTGATAAAATCCTGAGCTGCAGACCTTTATTACTGCATGAGTGACACTTGTCATTAGACGAAAGAGTCTATAATAAGTGGAATTAGAGATCTGCAT